CGGAGCCGCCTGGGCCACGCACGGCCCGCGCCTCCGCCCGGCGGGGAGGGCGCCTGGGCCCGGCCCGTGTCTGTCCCGAGTGGGAAGTCCATCTCCTGCCTCTCCCCTGCCTGCCTGCCGGCCGGGGAGGGGGAGACGCCGCAGCCTCGGCTGGGGGGGGCGGTGAGAGGGGTTGGAGCGGGCATCTTGAAGTAAGGCTGAGACTTCATGGGCTGGGCATTGTGGCCTAGAGGGCGGGGAGGGGGGTGCCGAAAGTCTTCTGTTGGAGGAGAAGGAGGGGGTTCTGGAAGTTGAGCCTGCCCCTCCAGGAGGACGGAGAGCTGACTGCTAAGAAACAGGAGAGGATTCTGGGAGCCAAAGGCCGGGAAAAGAACACCTGTAGGGGACAGGGGTTGCAGGCTGTGTGTGTAGGGGGGTCTTGTCCCATACAGGAGGAAACGGAGGGAAGAAGCAAGCTGTCCCGGGCAGAGCACAGGATGGCTGAGGGGGGTCTGGGTGCAGATGGTGCTTGCTAGAGAGATTATAGGCCCAGGAGCCCCCCTCCTCGGGGCAGCTCCGGGCTCTGGGGGTGCCCTGCTATGGAGCTGGGGCTCCCCAGGTGGGGAGCATGCACCTTCCCTTTGTCTTTTTGCGTTTTTGAAAGCCTTTGGTCAGGGCTTTGCTGATTTCTTTTCATAATGTCGTTGAGCGCTGCTGACATCAGTGATGGACACACCACCAGGCCTCCCGGGGGGGGGGGGGGGAGGGCTGCGCATGCTCATCTTCACATGCAGGAGCGAAGCAGGAACCCAGGCCAGGGACCCCTGCCCTGTCCCTCCTCCTGAACCCTGTCCTCCCTAGCCCGGAGCTGGATCCCTTTGGAAATTTCCCTCTGCTGGAGCTAGGCTACCCCCCATCCTCCCCTGCCCCCAGCTGGCCGGGTGGCAGGCCCGTCCCAGGCCCCGCAGCCTTTGCTCTGACTTCTTCCCTGCACTCACTGTGTTCCGAACAGAAAAGAAACAGCAAAGCTGAAAAAAAGCTGAGACTTTGCTGTGGAGCACAGAGGCACCAACAGCCGGAATTAGAAGCTGTCGCTTGGGGAGCTGAAGGCTGACAAGAGAGGGAAGGGGGCAGGCAGGCGCCGCGCTCACCTCCCACCTGCCCAGCCTCTCCCCTGCAGCCCCCTGGCTGGCAAAAGGGCTTCCTCCCAGAGACGCCTCGGCCTCTGAGTCTGTCACTCTGTCTGCATGCTCCCCCCCAGGTCCCCTTCTTTCCTTTTCAAGTGTCACCAGCCCCCTCACCCTGTCACGTTGCACACCAGCTCGGCAGGGCTGGGCCTGATGGCACGTGCTGGGAGATCCAGAGCTGCTTGGGGGTGCAGCGGGGGGGGGGGGTGGAGTGAGTCAGCAAGGGGCCTGGGCAGGGGCAGGGACCCTTTCTCTGGTAGGAAAGGCAAGGTAGGCCCGACGAATGGGAAGAGAGGCTGGCGTGGTCCCACAGGTGCCCAGCAGAGTGGGGGGGGCAGGTGCCCTTCACCCAGCCCAGTGTCCCCAGGGGGATAGCAGCTCTTCCTCCGCATGTCCCCTGTGGCCGGTTTCAGTTTGTCTCCAGAGCTCAGCGATGGCATTTGCCCAGGGGACAGATGGGCAGGGACATAGGTATCCAGGCGTGCCCCACGGGAAGAAGCTGCGTGGAGCCCCCGGGAGGAGGCCTGAGTGCGTGCTCCACCGCATTGCTGGGCTGCCCAGCACCGGCCCGGGACACAGACTCTGCCCAGCCTGGCAAGAGGCAAGCAGAAGGCACCTTCTGTGTGCCCTGTGTTCATCCACAGCAACTGGCTGCTGTCCAGTGGGCTGCGTTGGCACTGGCCCCTGCCTGGCTCCGGCCCCAGCTCCGGCTCCCACCCCTCACCTGGCTGTGTCCCCCTAGGCTGAGACCCTCATTGTGGGGAGAGGAGAATACAGGGCCACAGACTGACCCGCTGGAGATTTGAAGTCGGGATACCAGGATGGCTGATTGCAGCCAGGTTTTAGTCCTGTGAATGAGTGGCCCCCACCTCCCCCTGCAGCTGGGCCGGGCAGGGCCCCTGAGGTCAGGCGAGGGGGGGAAGGGGGCGGGTGTCCTTGTTTGTTTTCCAAAGGCCCCAGGTGTTCTCAGCAGAGGGCATCTGCTGTGTCTAAGAAAACAACCTCTTCCTGGCACACACACACACACACACACACACACACACACACACACACACACACACACACACACACACACACACCCCCTCTGGCAGCATCAGTCCCCTTGGGACTTGGGCTGGTACTGGCGAAGCAGTGAGTGGCTGCCTTCAGGCCCCCCCTTACAGCACAGCTATTTCCGAGGCCTTTGTGTCTGGCCCTCTAGGGTATGTCTTTGGTGGCCCAGGTGACTTGAAGGTTTGGGGCCCCTTTGTGGTAAGTGGGCCCGGGCGATGGGGGCCCCTGCGTGCAGGTGGAGGAGTGACACCTCCTTGTGGCTCTGGCTACAGGGCCAGCAGAAGGGGTGGCAGCTCCTGCTCCAGGCCAGAGCTGGGCCATCTGGGGGTCCTGGGAGAGACGTTACTCTGGGTTCAGATCCCAAGGGATTTTTTTTCTCCCTTCTGGGCAGCTTCAACGTAGGGGCCATTCTGTTACCCCCAGACTCCATTTCCTAACCCTAGAATAGACAGCAGCTTCCAGCAGGGATCACAGGATCAGGATTTAGTAGGAATAGGAAGGAGAAAAATAAATAAGCCTCATACATGCAGAAGAGCAAAAGGCGCTGGCATGCCAGGCCTGGGAGCTGGGCTCAGGGTGGGCCATGGGTGCACGGCCGGGGACAGTCAGCGGGGACAGTGTTCCACGTCACCTCCCGGGCTCCATCAGGCAGAGGTGAGGGCGGGAGCCCCAGCCTGGGTCCGGGGAGCAGCTCGGAGGCAGCGCCAAGCTCTGCCTCAAGTATCAGAGACGGCTCTCCTGCGTGTCTGCCTTGTCTGCGCGTGGGTCCCGGGGGGCCGGCCCCGTGGAGGCCTCGGGCTTGTCCTCGGCATCCGAGGGGCAGCTGACCTTGAGGCAGGCCCTCACCAACTCCTTCACCTCCGCCTCCAGGTCCTTCATACTGGCTTCATACTCTGCCAGAGCCGCCTGCTGGAACTGTAGGACCACTTGGCTAAGGAAGACATTCGACCCCACACCCCCCTTTCCCTGGATTGTGGAACAAGATTCCCAGGAGACGGCCAGGAGGTAAGAGTTACCCGGCCCGTGGAGGAGTCTCTCAAAAGAGAGACCAAGCACAGGGATCTGCGGAGCCGGCTTATGTGAAAGAGCCTCGAGGCCCCTTCCCCTGACCCCTGGCAGAGCCTGGAGCTGGGCCTGCACCCACCCCCAGCCCAGCCGCCTCCTCTGGGCCCAGGCCAGTGTCCGTCACCTGCTTTTCCATCTCCCGGATTTTGCCCAGGCAAGCCGCCTGCTTCTCCTCCAGCTTCTCCTGGCTCCGCTCCAGGGCCTCTGTCATCTGGATGGAAGTGAGAGGCAGGGAAGCAGCTGGCACAGACGGGCGTGCTGCCTTGGGATCCAGTTCTAATCTCAACTAACCCACTCTGAAACTTGGGGGGGAAGGACCTGGGGCCCCCTCTCCCCAGGGGAGGGGGGGGAAGCGCGTGTTTGGGAAGGACCACCCTGGCGCACCTGCCTGACGGCCTGCACAACTTCCTGGATGTGGGAGTTGTTGATCTCTCTCTTCAGCCTGTTGGTGAAGTCATTTCAGAGAGGGCCTTGCAGAGGGGCAGGGGTGCCCTCCGCCACCCAGGTGGGAAGCAGCGGGGGGGGGGACCCAGAGGAGGCCCCAGAAGGGCGGACAGGGCCTCGGGGAGACCTGAGCCCACGTCCTCACTGCCGCAGGTGTGCTGTGTCCTGGGCCACCGCGGAGCTCACCTCTCCTGGGCCATCTTATCCGTGGTGACTTTTGTCATGGCCTGGATCCGCTCCAGCCTCTTGGCCTCCAGCTTTTTCTTCATCTCTTTGGTGTCACTGCGGGGAGAGACAGGCGTGGGGCACTTGTGCCTGGTGGGGAGCGTGCTGGGGGGCAGGGGTCGTGGGTGTAGCCAGGGAGGCGGCCGGCGTACATCTCCCAGGTCTCCTTGAAGGCCTTCAGCTCGGCGGCCTGCCTCTCTTTGGCCAGCTCTGTCATCTTGGTGATTTGCTGTAGGAGAGGACGGACGTCTGGGTTCAGTGAGAAGCCCTTGGTGCCCAGGGCACGGGGGGGGTGCGCCCTGTCCCCCCGAAGCCAGGCACCTCCACCGCGTGCTGCTCCTTGCGCTTCAGGATGCCCTGGTGCTGCTCCTTGCCCTGCAGCCGCAGCTCCTGCTCCAGCCTGGCCTGCAGCTCCTGCACTTGCGGGTCTGTGCCCTCCGGGCCTTCCAGACCCTCGCTGGGCGCCACCCCTGAGGGCTCATCACTGGGCGGGATCCTGCCGAGGACATGTGGGGCGGGTCCCGAGCTTGCAGGGGCGAGGCTGGGGGCAAGGCGGGGACGGGGCGCCGCCCGCCCGCGGTCCTTACCTCTTCTTCCGGGAGCCCTTGTTGGGCCTCAGCCGGCAGCCCGTGCCCCGCAGCCCCAGCTCGGCCAGCTGGGCCGCCCCGCGCTGGAGCAGCTCCTCCCGGCGCCGCGCCCCCCGCCGCTCCAGCTCCCGCAGCTCCTTCTCCTGCCTGCGCTGCAGCTTCACGAGGCCCTTCAGCTCCCGCAGCTCCTCGGGGCTGGCCGTCTGCGGCTCTGCAGAGGCCTGGTTGAGGCCTGTGCCCACCCAGGCAGCCCACCCCGTTGGCTGAGCATCCCCCCCCACCATGTGCCCCAGTCCTTCTCCAAGTTCACCCCTCACTCAAGATCAGGGGGCCCAGCAAGTCTCACCCGCAACTTCTTTCATGGCCTCTTCCCTGGCCCGGGCTGCCGCAGGAGCACAGGATGGGCGGAGGCTTTGGGGAGCCCGTTGGCTCTGGTTAGCTCCTGAGAGAGGGGGACTGTGGGTACTATTGACCCCAGGTCACTGCCTTAGCCTGCAGGGCATGGGGAGAGGGCCCTCTGCCGGCGAGGAGGCATGAAGCACCCACCTGCTGAGCCATTGCTGGCGGAGGCTGAGGCCCCATTGACCTGGTGGGCACCCGGACCCCCGGGCAGGAAGGGCGTCTGTGGAGGTGAGAACAGTCCGGTCTTCCTGTCGTTCATTCACAGACAGGCCTGGAAGGGTCCTCTCCCACCCCAGACATGAATGCTGGGGGGTGGGGATGGGGTCCTAAAACCAATATGCTGAGAAGCTCTGGAAGCGCGGTGAGACCCGGCTACGAACACCACACACACTGGCATGCCTGCCTGAGGAGCAGCTTGGGTTACGGGGCTTCCGTTTACCCGCCACGCGCAGGTGCGTCCGCGCTGCCACCGCGGGTTACCGCTGGCTCGTCATCAGCAAGCCCCCTTCCTCCCACCAGGGCCAGGCCACACACACCTCAGGCAGACTTCCCAGGGCCTCCTTGAGCTTCGCCGCCTTCTTATCGTGGGCACTGAAGTACTTGATGGGGTTGGCGAGGGCCACGGTGAGATCTGAGGGCACAGGTGTTACCAGCCTGGGTGTGTGGGGGAGGTCAGACCCGAGGTCCCCAGGATCTTGTCCCTCCCTGGCGTCTGGCTTGCTCGCTGCCGGGAAGGAGGACAGGAGGACGGAAGGCCTCTACGAGGCCCTGGGCCGCCTTCCCTACCTGCCCAGGTGTCGGGGATGTAGTCCTTCATCTCCAGGAAGATGAAGAGCGCGGGCATGGTGAGGGGCATGTTGCTCTCGCTGTGCAGGCACAGGTGATGGTAGCCTGTGGGTGGTGAGGGCTGGTGAGCCGGGGCCGGACACTGCCTTGGCTGCATGCCACCAGTCCAGCGCTTAAGACTCTTGGATTGAGTCAGAGAGGCCAGGGTCTCGGGCCGGCACTGCACCTAACTGGCTATGTCACTTTAACTCGGGGACTTTGCCTGTGAAATGGGGGTTCTGGCATCTGCCTTGTGGAGTTAGTACTGCCTGCCTTTGCCGGGCGCCGCTGGTGGCTCACGCCTATCATCCTAGCTACTTACGAGGCTGAGATCTGAGGATTGTGGTTCAAAGCCAGCCCGGGGCAGGAAAGTATGTGAGACTCTTATCTCCAACAAACCACCAGAAAACCAGAAGTGGCACTGTGGCTCAAGTGGTAGAGCGCTCGCCTTGAGCTGAAGAGCTGAGGGACAGCGCCCAGACCCAGAAACAAGACCAGTGACTCTACAAAACCGTGGACTTCCTGTGAGGTGGGCAGAGGTCACCCCGCTTTGTAATCAGGCTCCCTGGGGATAGCGAAGAACCCTTTCTGTACCAGAATTCAGGGCACTGATGGGGATGATGCGGTGGCCAAGAAACTTGTTGCCTTCCTCCATCACCGCCACCCTGAGGGAGGCCAGCTCGGGCATCAGGATCTGGGGAAGAGTTGGAAAGGGGACGGGCTGGAGGGGGCGCCTTCCCGCCCTGGCTCCAGAAGTCTTCGCTGTCAGGGTCAGAACTCGGCAGGTGGCAGGTGGTATTGGTGCAGACAGGCAGGGCCAGCAGCCCCAGGCTCAGACACAGACACCCCCCCCATCTTATTCCGGGGCTTGTCTCCCGAAATATAGACTAGGGCCAACCAGTGATCCATGGGGACAAAGCACCCCCTCAGGTTCCTATGTGACCCTGAGTCCTGGTAACGTGTGCACACACACACACACGCACACACACCTTTCCTCCTACCTCTACGCAGAGGCCAAGAGGAGGGGAGAGACCCCAGCCTCGCCCTGCTTTGCCCCCCCCCACCTTCTCAAAGACGAAGGGCTCCTCTTTCCAGACAGGGTTGATGGAGTTGTTACTGGGGGACAGCTTGGTGCGATAGCGCCTCTTGGGGTCCCCGGGAAGGCCAAACAGCTCCACTTCCACATAGGTGCGCACGCTGCGTTCTGACAAGAACTGCCCAGAGATCACCTGGGTGAGGAGCAGAGGGCATCCGCCTCAGATCCCTGCCCAGCGGACGGGGCCTCTGCAGCTGAGCCCCCCAGCTCTTGGGAGTTGTGAAGACTCCCCAGACCCCCATTCAGCTCTGGCCGCCAGGGCTCTGTGGCTGAGCTCTGCAGACCGGGGCAGATGGTCACCCTACCTCCCTCTCTGGCCAAGGAAGGAGCAGTGCCCCCCACCCATGCTGGCTGTCTCTCCCCTCCCCCACCCCAGCCTCAGCCCTTCCCCTCGGTTTCCATGGGGACCAAGAAGCAGCCTGAGTGCTGAGGGGGAGGCAGTTTCCAAGGCAACTTGCTACTTACTGCAGGAGCTGGCTGGGGCTGGAGTCGTTAGGATACAGGGAGGGGGGCTGGGCCTTCCTCCTCCAGACCCCAGACCCACCCCCACCCCGCCCCTCCGCCTTCTGTCGGCCTGGGTCCTTGCCGTGATGGACAGAGTGGTGGCCACCACCACGTCGATGCCGTCCACCGCGAAGGGATTGAACTGCTTGTCCGGCCGGCGCATGAACTCGTGCTTGAGGAGGTAGCCGCTCTGCCCGTTGAACTCGAACAATGCCATGTTCTGCTGCATGGGCAGGTCTGGGGGGGGACAGGGGACGGGGCGAGGGGACACCGTGAGGAAGGCCTGGCCCCACACTGCACCCTGTCTACTTCAGATTCTTCCCAACCTGTGTGGTCTTGGGAACAGACAGATTTGGGGTTGATGGGGATGACATGGGGCCAGCCGAAAGCCGGGCCACAGCCAGGCCACAGGCTCCCGCGAGGCCTGAGCTTGCGCATTCATACCCCCTAGTGCCCGCAGTGCCAGGACGCACCAGAGCCCATCGGTGCTTGTGACCCCTGGGCAGAGGGAACAGTGGGGGGGCAGGGGCTGGGGGTGCGCCTCACCCATGGTTTGAAAGTTGAGGGCGACCATCTGGCACCCCGCGTTCCAGAACATCTGGGGCATGTAGTTGGACGAGTCCATGCGGGTGCCCTTGGGGTAAACACGGCTCATCTGCCGCTTGTTGTAGCTAGCCGGGGTATAGGAGAACCTGGGAGCACTGTCCCCCGGCTTCCCGTCCACCCCTCCTCCCCGGCTCCCCAGCCGCGGCCTGGCTTGTGAAGCGTCAAGGATACTCTACAAACTGCACGGAGGCCTTGGACAGCAGGTCGTAAGCCTTGAGCTCCGTGAAGGAAGAGATGATGTAACTTCGGTTCTTCTCTGCTCCAGGGAGAAAGGGGCGGGGTGTCTGCGTCAGGCTGCCCCTCCCTCGCTCCTGCCCTCCCCTTTGGGGCAGCTCTGTGCGGTCAGCGTTCCCACGGACGCTTGAGGATTTAGGAGCCAGCCGCCTGGGATGAGGGGGTAGCAGTGAGGGCCGGGGTCCGGGTCTTGGCGGTGGATGTGCGTGGGGACCGGGCAGTGTGCCATGGACGGCAAGGAGCCCATGCCGTGGATGTGGGGGACGTGCAGGGTGTGGTCAGCGTGCCAGCCTCTCTTCTGAGGTTTGCGGGGAGTGGGGTGCGTGAGAGGTGGCAGGAGCTAGAGGTGGGGTCAGAGGTTGGGGCAGTGCCCGGGAGAATTGAGGGGACCCTTGTGCTCCGGTGGCTTGCCCTGCCTGCTGCCCCCTTCCAGGACGTCTCTCCCCGGGGGAAGGAGCCTTTGGACCTGGCCGGCCTTAGGCCAACAATTCAGCCCCAGGAGCCACAGAACCTGGAAGAGATCGCAGGAGCCGCAGGCAGGCCTGGCTGAGGTGGCTTGTCACACGGCCCGTCGCTGACACACCACAGAGAGCCGTGTCTGTGCCAAGGACCTCAGAGCCATGCCAGGCCACTGGAGCCACCCGGCCTGGGTGCGGGACTGAGTCCCGAGTCCAGGGAGGGGCCTTCCCCTGCCCACACCCGCCCTGCCCGCCTCCCCGCGCACGTACGGGCCGACAGCTCGAAGGAGACGAACTTGGTGGGCTGGATGTAATTGACCAGGCTGGACATCTCCTCATAAGCCGACACCTCCAGACCCGCTGTGCCCTGCGGGCGGGGGGAAGAGGGGAGAGGAAGATAGGCATCGCCCAGACAGTGTCCCCAGCCCCCCTGATGGCCGAGGGGCGCGGGCCCAGCCCCCACACCTCATCTGACTGCATCTTCTTGAGCTCCTCTTCGTCCAGGCTTCCCGACTCTTCCTCCTCCTCCTCCTCCTCCTCCTCCTCCTCAGCAGCCCACACTGACATACACAGCCCTCCTTAGAGTGGGCTCCTCTCCCCCCCACAATCTCCCCCACTCCAGCGAACTTACCTGTGTCTTCCCCAGAGGGAGCACTGGGTGGAGAGCCCCCCTCGGCCTCCCCACCACGCTCCTGGCTGGGGGCCATTGGGCCAGAAAACGGATTCTTCTTGTTCTTGATGAGGATCTTACCCCGGAGGTCCTCAGGACTGGGCAGAGGGACTCCGGGCTTCAGCTGTGGAAAGGGAGCAGTGGGCACCCGTCCTGGGGGGGTGTCCTGTGCTGCTCACCCCCCACCGGCTCCCCCCTCCCGCCTGTCACCACAGCCCCACCTGGCATGGGCACTGATCCATCTTCCCAGCACGCCCTTTCCCACGCTGGCTAAAAGCAGGCCATTATAGCCTTAAGTTTTCCTCTTTGCCACCCCCACTCTTCCTCCAGGAAGCCCTCTGGGATCCTCTGACACCCAGAACAGAGACTACTTGTTATAACAACCCAGGTATCTGTCTGTCTCCTCCTCAGAGGGTGAGAACGAGGGAGGAGGGGGGAGGCAGGGGTTGCCCGTTGCATTATGTGTTTGAGATGAGGTAGCTCAGGCTGGCCTTAAACTCCATTTTCCTGCTTCAGCCTCTCACGTGCAGCCCCTACCCCTGGCTCAGCCGTGTCTCTGTCGCTAAAGTCTAGCACACTCCGTGAGTGAAGGTAACAAGATCCCACAGTCCAGCCGCGTTAATCCCAGTGTCTCTGCCCCCCTCCCACACCCCACTCCAGGCCCAGCTGTCCCCAGCAGAGCCCACTCACGGGGAACTTTTCTAGAGGTTCTGTGAGCAGCGTATCCCCAAACAGGGTCCGGCAGTACTCAGCCATCTTGGCCTGTTGGCGGGGTCTGGGGAGAACCGGAGCGGGCGTGGGCCTGGCAGCTCAGTCCTGGTTCTCGGGGTAACCCCGACATGGGGTAATCCCCCGGGGGAGAGGGGGGACATGGACAGGAGAACCCCAGCCCAAAGAGATTGTGCTGAGACTCAGCAGAGAAGCTCAGGGATGGAGGGTGGGGGTGGTGACAGGCAGGAGGCTGGAGGCCGGGGAAGGGGTGAGGCTGAGGAGGCCTGAGTACGCACGAGTCCACGTGGTTTTCAAAGGACAGGATGACAGGGTAGGGGGAGGTCTTAAAGGCGCTTTCTGCAATGGCTTCCACTGCTTCCTGGAGGGGGGGGAGGACCACCAAATGGGCAAGGCGGCGTTTGGGCTGCCCTCCCCACCCCCGTGGGACCCCAAATTTGGTCAGTACACACACGAAACCCAGTGGCCATGGTGGTCCCCCATTGCTTCCGTCCCCTCCAGCGTCCACCCCAGCGGAGGCCCTCTGGCTTCGCCTCCCCCTCCCTCCCTCAGCGCGCCCCCACCCCCGGCCCGCCCACCTTGAACAGGATGTCTGTGGTCATGGTGAAGCCGTGGGTGATGATGGGCTCCTCGTCCGGGGGCTTCCCCTTCCAGCAGTCCAGCTCCACACAGCGGCAGCCGGCCAGCAGGACCTGGCGGTACATCTCGGCCGAGGACAGGCCTGAGAACTGGCCGGCTGCGGGGGGGGGGCAGTGTCCGTGGAGGGCTGGCCAGTGCCCACGCTCCGCGCTCGCTCTGTCTCGCGCGCAGGGCGGCGCCGGCCTCACCTGTGAGGTACGTGTTGTGGGAGGAGTTGATGAAATAGTGGTTGAGCGGCTGAGTCATGTCCTGGTGCAGCAGGAGCTTGTCCTGGGCCAGCACGCTGTTCTCCGGCCCGCAGAGGAACCACACCATGCCTTCGGGTGACAGCTGGCCTGGGAGGGGGCAGGGGTGGGCGTGGGGGTGCATCAGAGCCATGGGCCAGTCCGGTGGGGGGGGTGGACTGAGGGGCCGGGGCACCCCCGACCCCTCACCTCTCTGCACGTTGATGCCGCTGGGCTCGTACTTGTCGATGAGGCGCTGCACCTGCTCGGGCCGCGCGGGCGGGAAGAGCATGGAGTTGAGCCGGGAGTCCCGCTGCTTCTGGTTGATGAATTTGCTCAGGTGCTCCTTGGTCATGTACGGTTTGGCCTTAGCATGGCTGTGGGCCACAGAGAGACAGGGCCCTGGAGGCCGAGACAGCCCCCAGCTCCCGGGGACACCGGATTCCCACAAGGATGGGGGGTGGGGGGCCGCCCCAGCCCCTCCCCATGTCCAGCCCCCACCCCGTGCTCACTGGGAAGTGAAGATCTCGTCAATTTCTGGCCTCGGACAGAGGTTCATGAGGAAGCTCTTGTAGACGGATTCTGGGAAGTCCTCAGGGTTGATAGCGTCATTCTGGGGGAAGAGCTACCTCGTCACCCCAACCTCGGCCTGCTCACGGCTAAGGCCCACAACCTCGGCTCAGCGCTAGGACTGGACCAGAGAGAGCCGGAGACCGCGGCCACCGCCGCCGTCTCCCGAGCCCCAAGGCTCTGAGTGCTGGGCAGCTGCTCAGCTGGCTTGCTTTAATCCTGGTGTGGGACAGTGGCTAGTTCCTTAGCTGGTATAGAACTGGAACTAAGGAACAATTCAAATGAGGAGGAAAAGCGGTCAGTAGTGTGGAGAGCTGCTTCCGGATCAGGGGATTACCTTTCCTTACGTGAAGGACAAAGTTGCAATATAATATAAACATGTGTGCACATAATAACAGAGCCTTAATATACAGGAAACAAAAACAGAACGGGAGGGAGAACTAAAAATCTCAGCAATGGTATTTAGGGTCTGGGGATGGAGCTCAAGTGGTGGTTTAGCATGTGCAGCATATGCATGCATGCATACACATGCACAGCGTTAAAACCTCCAGAAAAAAGAAAACCCACAAAAGACCCCTCCAAAGGAGAGAGACAATGGACTTCATCAAAATCTCTAACGTTTGTGCTCCTAAAGACAACATCAAGCCGGGTGCCAGTGGCTCACGCCTGTAACTCTAGCTTCTCAGGAGGCTGAAATCTGAAGAGTGTGGTTCAAAGCCAGCCCAGGCAGGAAAGTCCATGAGACTCTTATTTCCAGTTAACTACCAAAAAAAGCAGGAAGTGGTGTTGTGACTCAAGTGGTAGAGCACAAACCTTGAGCAGAAAAGCTGTAGAACCAGCACAAAGAGAGGAGGGGAAGGGAGGGGGGAGGGAGAGAGAAAGTAAAATGACATGGGAGACTGAGGCAGAAGTTTAGACCAACCTGGGCTCCATCGTAAACAAAAACTGAGGGGGGGAGAAAGAGAAAGAAAGGAGGGAGGGAAGGAAGGCAACCCAAGGAGTCGAATGCAGTATTCACAAATCACAAATGAGGTATCTGTTAAGGGTAACTGCAACAAAAAGAAAACCCACTATATCCATAAACTGCTTTGTACAACTACTTAAGAATGATAAGAATTGGGGCTGGGAAGGTGGCTCAGTGGTAGAGTGCTTGCCTTGCATGCCAGAGGCCCTGGGTTCGATTCCTCAGTACCACATAAGAAAAAAGCCGGAAGTGGTGCTGTGGCTCAAGTGGTAGAGCGCTAGCCTTAAGTGAAGAACTGAGGGACAGCGCCCAGGCCCAGAGTTCAGGCCCCACGACTGGACCCCCCCCAAAAAAAAGAATGATAAGAATTATGGGATGGGAAGGGGAAACAAAGGAGGAGGCTACAATGCTTGATAAAAAAAAATGTACTCATTATCTTGCCCATGTAGTTGTAACCCCTCTGTACAGTATTTTCACAATAAAAAAAAAAGAATGATAAGAATTAGGGGCTGGGAATGTGGCTTAGTGGTAGAGTGCTTGCCTACCATGCATGAAGCCCTGGGTTCGATTCCTCAGCACCACATAAAAAGAAAAAGCCAGAAGTGGTGCTGTGGCTCAAGTGTTAGAGCGCTAGCCTTGAGCAAAAGAAGCTCAGAGACAGTGGCCATGAGTGCAAGCCCCAGGACTGGCAAAAAAAGAAAAAAACAGAAGAAGGGCAGTGGGTGACCCATAAGCACATGGGAAGATATTCAGTGCAGTTAGTCACCAGGGAAATGCGAATGAAAGCCACAGTGACAAGCCACCTCACTCCCACTAGAGAAGCATAAATCAGAGCAGCAGTGTGTGTGGGGGGGGATGTGGGAAAACTATAAGTTTTTTTTTTTGTTTTTCTGCTTATGTGGTGCTGAGGAATCGAACCCAGAGCCTCATGCATGCAAGGCAAGCGCTCTACCACTGAGCCACCTTCTTAGTCCCAAAACTGGAAATGTTATACAACGCTGCTAGGATTGTGAAATGCTGTGGCCACTTTAGATAATGGTGTGGCCATTCCTTAGAGTGCTCGATATGGAGGTGCCATATGACCCCACAGTGTCACCTCTGGAAGTCTATAGATCCAAGAACACTGAAAACACAGCTACACAAAACCGTGTGTGCATGTGTTCAGCAGCAGTGTTATTCTTGGTAGGTTAAAAAGTGGATGGAGGGGCTGGGAAGGTGGCTCCATGCTACCCTGGGGTAGGGGCACACACCTGTCTGTCAAGCTAGGGATGTGGGGGGAAACGCTCCTTCTGGGAATAGGGATTCAGAAGGACAGGTGACCTGCGGGGCCACCTGCGGTTTTATTTATTTATAGTGTGCGCAATTCTTAAGCAGCAGAGACTACTGGATGGGGTGCGGACTGTGACCTAGAGCAAGGACACAGCCTGGTGGCCAGAGGGCCTGCGATGGGCTCCACTGAGCCAGGCTTGGCTTCAGGCCCTGTCCACCCAGGCACCAGGCCTTTTGTGTGTGTGTGTGTAGTTGTTAATTCACATAAGGCACCTCATGAAGTGATCCAGCTTACAACTTGTAATTAAAAATGAATGCTTAATTAAGAAGGAAGTTGAAAGTGTGTTTCTGCACTGAGCTGAAGTCTGTGTCCTGGCAGCTTCCACCCTGGCTTCCCTCTGACACCCCGCAGAAATTGTCCCTGCCAGATCTCTGCAGGACACCTCCTGACCCACCCGTCCCGCTGACTTTCTCCTGCTCTTCCAGGCTGAACACATTCACTCCCAGGCTGCACTGGGGGCACAGGCCAAGTCGGCTGTGGTCCTGAGCACCGTCCACCACCCACCACTCTGCCCACGTTGCCAGCGGGGCTCTGCACTGAGTGCAGTTCCACCCCTGGTCCCTTACCTGGAGGGTCTAGGATTTGATTGGCTTTTCCAGCTACCAATGGGATGATGATGTGGTGTTCTGCCCTCCCCATGCACCAGCCCCACCAAGCCCCTGTCCTAGGGGTAGAATGAGCAGGACAGGGGGCCGCTCACCTTGCCCTTTGCCAGGTGGCAGGCACTGAGGGCAGCTTCGACGCGCTTGCGGTCGGCAGGAAACATCTGGAAAAAACTGAAGGGGCCCAGAAGGGCAGCGGGCAGAGGGAGAAGGCGTGCCCCATGCCCGCTGGGGAGCAGGTGGGAGGAGGGGAGGGAGGGGAGACTCACTTCTTCACAGGAATCTTCCCCTCGGGGTTCACCTGCATCTTCAGCTTCACCAGGCTGGGGGCGGGGGAGGGACAGGGCAGCCTGTCAGGTCACAAAGGGTGTGCCCAGCTGGGGGGGGACTGGGGGAGGGACAGGACTTACATCTTATCCAAGAAGGTGCTGCGGGGCGCGTTGCTGGTCAGCGGGTGCTTAGCCAGGGCCAGCAGATCCTCAGCCCAGTCCTGCAGGAGCCCAGAACCCAGTGGGTCAGGCCGTGGACACCCCAAGTCTGTCTATCTGGCCGTTGCCCAAGCCCAGGCCAGCAGCTACACACACACACACACACACACACACACACACACACACCTTCCCCAGCAGCTACACACACACACACACACACACACACACACACACACCTTCCCCACGTTCTCCTTGTAAGAGACGAAATTGTGGAAGGTGAGCTCCACCATGTCAGGGCCCGACACCACGGTGAGCGCCTTCAGCAGGAAGTGGTTGTCGGGGAAGTCCATGTTGAACACGTCCCGGAGCTTCTGGCTCTGCAGCGAGGGGTGGACGGTGAAGGCCGCGGGTGCTCTGTCCATCCCTCCCCACCCAGCCACTTCAGCTGCAGGTCACTGGGGGACAATCCTGTCCTCCAAGCTCATCCCTGGCTCTGCCCAGGGGTAAGAAAGACAGGCCTGGGGAAGAGAGTTGCCAAGGTTCTGGGGTTGAGGCTGCTTCTGTCCTTCTACCCAAGTGCATACCCCAGCCCCCCGGCACAGGCCGGGCTGGGAGCAGACGTGCGCGCGCGGCATTTGGTTCAGGCAGGGCTCCTCGCTGCCCGGCTGGGGCACCGGCTCGCCACCCCTGCAGGGACTTCCCCGCCCCATGGGCCTGGCGGCGGCATGCAGCCTAAACCCGCTCACCTTGGGCGTCTTGGCGAACTTTCCAAAGCGGGTGTCTCGAATGCTAGTGATATCCAGAAACTCCATCTCCTGGGAAAAGGCAAAGAGCAAAGGGGCAAAGTAGGATCCCCCCCCCAAAAAAAATAAAAGCAGGCCAAGAATGAAGAACAGGGAGCGGGGAGCGTGTTCACCCCTCGGATGGTAGCCCACAGCCCTTTCAAGAGGACTAAGACTTCCTGGGGCCATCTGCACCCCAAGGGGCCCCTCTTCACACGGATGCTCTATGCTGCCTGTCTGTCCATCCATCCGTCTCCTCCAGGGCATTGGCTCGTTGGGTAGGACCTCTGTAGTACCGGCCACCTCACCTTGCTCTGATGCGTCCAGTATAAGTAATAGCCCTTGGGGTCCACACGGAGGATAACCGGGGAGGCCAGCGTGGTGTCCTGCAGGGAGAAGGGGTCAGCTCTCTGCTGCCAGCCTTTGAGCCGGCTTCCCTGAGCCAGTCCACCACTTTCCTAGAGATTTGAGAGTGTTCCCCTCTGTTCCAATAGGGGAGAGGGATTGGTAGCTGAAAGAGAAGAATTTCACCTCGAAGCCACAAGGTAGCCCCCCAAAAGACAGTCTTGAACTCTACCTCACCAGGCTCCAGAAGTAGAATGTTTCTCCTAGACACACGTCGCTACTACCAAGTAGCTTGACGCTGTAGACAGCTCAGAGCCCAGACTCCTGTACCCACAGCCAAGGCCCCACACAGACCAGCTACAGCGTAAGCACCCTGTGCCCCGCCCTCTCCCCATGAGCACCCCAAGCTTTCATCCCACTGTTCCACAGAGACACCGAGCGGTGCCTCCTCACCTCCAAACCTCCTTGACCCAAAATACCATCAAGGACCCTGCCCACCTCAACCCTGCAAAAGCATTCCCTGTAATACGCTGTCATTCCTGGGCTGCGCGACTCAAGGACCCCAGGTCTGAAACCTAAGCTTGAACTAGACCATGAACTTGGCGCTGGCTTAGTGCTTGAGCTTGGAGTTTGCTGAATGAGTGAATGAATGAATGAATGAATAGGCACTTTCCTTCTAAATTCCTGTCTTGCTCGCAGGAATGTCGACTACCTATTATTTTAATAGTCTTTGCATAAATGCATACACATATGTAAAACGAGGTATTACAGTTGGACTTCCCAACCAGGCAGAGGAGAGTTGCGGCAGGCCACACAACCCAGTACAGAATCTACCAAGGAAATGATTACAGAGGAGTTCCTGGGTTATGCCGGGCGGTGTCACACACTCCTGTCACCCAAGAGCAGCACCCAGCCAGGGACATGCCTGTTCCGTCAAGCCAGGGTCTAGGGGATACACAATGTCCCAGCCTAGGAGGACAAAGGGACCAAGCAGGTACCCGGGTCAGGGAGAAAGCCACCCAGCCGGTCCCTACCCCTGGTGACCCCACGTCCACTCAGTTACAGAGTGGAGAGGGACAGCTTCACTTTTCATGCTGAGTAACTTCCCTCATTCCCCGGGGATCTGGGACGTGCCAGCTGAGTGCCACTTTAGTGCCATCCCATGCCACGCCAACCCCAATGCTCCTAGGGAAACAAGCACCTCACCTCTGCTTCCCCTAGGAGCCCATCCCGTGCCCTCCTCCTGCTCATCACCGGGCAGGCCCCGCCCTCCTCTCAGCCCTTGCTCTTCCCGGGGTCAGCCCGGCATCCTCGCACACCAGACCAGCCCCTGAAGGGGGGGGTCCCCCACCCCATTCTTCCCCTTACCCACGAGCATCATGCACCAAAGGCAAAGTGTTCAGGGTCCACGGGGAAGTACGGCCCAGTTTAAGAAGGAGAAGATGTGGGTTTAGGACAAAAACTTCCCTTCCCTTGAAGAAGGTTGGCGGTGTGTGTGTATTTGTGTGTGTGTGTGCGTGCGCGCGCACGCGTGTGCAGTGGGGGCAGGGGAGAGGAGCTGAGTCCAAGAAGAGGAAGCAGAACTCAATTGGGGTTTTCGCTTGAGTTGGGGGCAGGGGCGTTTGGGGGGTGCCAGGCTGCAGCTCCGGAGGGCTTCCCTTGGCAGCACAGGCCCAAGGGACCTCATGGGCGTCATGCGGAGGGGTGAGTCAAGCAAAGGGGAGTCTGGAGCCCCTCTTTCTGGGCCTGTCTAGTTCTGGGGTGCTCTTTCATCAAGGCGGAAGCCAGGAGCAGCGTTCCCTGTTCATAGGAGTTGGGGGGCAGGCAAGCCCAGATCCAAAGCAATCGCCTCCCATGAGCCCCTCTTCTTGTGGATGGACTCAGAGCACAGGCGCCCGGTCCAGCCTTGTTTATCCAGGCTGCGGTGCCAGCTGCCTGGACAGGCGCCTGGATTGTCAGAGACATAAACCAGCCCTCTGCCCAGGGCAGCCCCGGCCCCTCCCTGCCCGGCCCCCCGGCCCCGACTCACATCATCCCACTTGATGAAGCGCTCTCCTTGGCTCAGATAGGCCTTCACCTGCGGCGGCTGCAGGACAGGGCTGAGCAGAGACATGGTGCTGGACACGGGCCGGGCAGGCGGGAGGAGGGACGGAGGAGGAGGGCCAGCAGGAGGGGGGCCAGGCTGGGCCTCACATGGCACCCGCCCAGAGTGGGTCCGGAAGTCTGGGTGCTCTTATATCTCCTAGGGTGGCCGTGGCTGCAAGCAGGGGTCACAGCTCCGGGCAGAGCCCCCCCTCCGTTTATCTGCCTTGTAAATCAGCCTCCTCCCGACCTGTCTGGAATGGGGGGCTGACCCTGCCCCTGCGTAAGGAGGGGCCCTGGCTCCCCTCCTGGAAGTCCCCGCCCCGTGCCCTATGCCTCTGCACTTCCTGCTGGGGCTTCCTTCCCTGCGGCTCCATCTAGGGGTTCATCCCTGCCCAGAGGTGGCCCCAAGTCCTGGAGGCCAGCAAGGGGGTACCATTGCCCTGGCCGGGATGGAGGGAGGATACAAAGAACTCTTCGGGGAAAGACCCTCCACAGGGGTGAGGTCCGGCGCAGGGGCTCTGTCCCCCACAATGTGGGGCTCCCCGAGAGAAGAGCTGGAGAGTGGGGCTGAGGGTTTGACGCGGCAGGGAGAGCGTTTTGAATAAGCAAAGTGAGCTGATCTCCTGGCTCATCTTTCTCAGTGCTTCCTCCCCATGGAAATGAGGGCCAGATGGAGGACCCGTGGCCTTCACCCCAACGCACTTCTTGGGGGGCCTTCGGCCTGGCCTAGGCCTGGAACCTTTGCCCACCAGCCACAGCCCAGCTTGAAGCAGGCACACTTCCTCTGCTCCAGACCCAGAGGCCTCCAGATATCAGGGCAGGGGACCCAGCTCTGAACCCCACTGAGGGTATGTGCCCCCCCACGCCCCATCCCAGGAGGCCAACCCCGGCCGATTTCCTCTTTAACTCACTCCTCTTCTGGCCCTTGTCAGCCCACCCGAGAGGCAGGGAGCTCTCCCCGCGATTTCCTTCCCCCTTCCAGCCCTGGTTAGACGACCCTCAGATGCCACCAAGGGCTCTGTGGCCTTCTAGAACTGTCTCACAGGTCAGGGACAGTATGGGGAGGGCGGGTGAAGGGAGGTAACCCTTCTAGAAGGGTAGAATAGGCTAAGGCTGGGGGGATCCTAGCATAGACAATTTGTGTGTGTGTGTGCGCATGCGTGCGCGCATGTGCCAGTACCAAGGCTTGAACTTAGGGTCTCTCCATTTTTCCGCTCAAGGCTGATACTCTCCCACTGGAGCCAGAGTTCCATTCCTGCTTTTTTTTTTTTTTTTTTTTTTAATGGTTATTGGGAGATAAGAGTCTCATGGACTTTGCCCTCAGCTCTGGCTTTGAACCTGGATCTTCAGATCTCAGCCTCCTGAGGAGCTAGGATTACAGGAGTGAGGCACCAGTATTGGGTGCAAATTCTAAGACCAGGGTGATGGAGACTGGGGCAAAGCCCATTTGGGCTCCTGGACACAGAAGCTGCCGCAGGTGACAGGTGCCCTAATCCGTTCTCACACACGTCCCTGCCCCCTCCAGCCGCAGGTGCTCCTGGGGGCTCCTTGGGAACCCCCCGGCCCCCCCCCCCCGTCTCCCTGTGCTCAGGTTCCCCTCTGTTTGAATGGACTTTGCAAGGGAAATCCCTGTCCCTTCCCAAAGGCCATGCACCTGCCACCTGCAGTGGGCCCATCCTCACTCCCACACTCCCTCCCTTCCTCCGGCCTTCCCTGAAGCCATCTCCCCCCCTTCTTGGATCTGGTAAGACAACTCCTCCCTTTTTCTCCCTCACCCTGGGGAAGAGCCAGGGTCATTTCCAGGCTTTCAGGAATCCTCACACTGATCCTTTCCATCTTGGATTCTGACACCACAGAACAGAGACTCCTAACAGGACCCCGGAGCTCACCTGTGACTTGCGTGAGCGCCTGGATGCCCACATCCTGAGTTCCTGCAAAGTCAGTTCCTAAGAAACCCAATCAGCCAGGCGAGCGCTGTACCACTTGAGCCACAGCACCACTTCCGGTTTTCTGGTGGTTCATTGGAGATGAGAGTCTCACGGACTTTCTTGCCCGGGCTGGCTCTGAACCGTGATCCTCAGATCTCAGCCTCCTGAGTAGCTAGGATTACAGGCGTGAGCCACCGTGACCTTTTTTTTTTTTTTCCTCTTTAAATCAAAGGTGTTATTTAGGCGTTATTTAGGTTGCCTGGCATGGGCGTGCATCCTTATAGTGGCAGCTCTTTAAGAGCCAGAAGTAGGAGGATGCTTTAAGCCTAGGAGTTAGAAGCTAGTCTGGAGGATACAGCAAGATTCTGCCTCAAAAAAAAATCACTAAAAAAAAGTTATTAATACTGTCAGTTGACACATTAAACAAGAAAACTATTATGCAAATAGTATAGAACGAGCATGGAGCAATCCAGGCAAGTCACGCTTCTTCCCAGGGAGGGGAAGCAGCCTTGGGCTGGAGGCTGAGCTAGCTGAGTGAGGCCACCCCAAAGGCACCTAGCCCATCCAGCCCCCCCCCCCAGTGGAAGGGCAAGGATGCCCCCTGCTGGGCACGCTGCAGAGCCTGCCTGGGGGAGGGGTGGACCTTGAGCTGGTGAGTGGGAAGCGGGAGGGTCAGAGGCGGCGGCGCTGAGAGCAGGGCCCAGGCTCCCTTGCTCACCTGCCAGTGGTTTGTGGCGGATCCCAAGCGTTGGTTTCCTCATTTGTGATTCGCTAGGGAAGTTCAGGGGTGGAAATCCAAGGAGCCAAAGTGTTGCTTCTGTACTTACTAGCAGGAGAGATGCAGTTTCTGTTACATCTTCCTCCGTGCCCAGGACCATAGATAACATCCATTTCCTTCCCTAAGGATTCCTGTTCTACTCTTCCCTACTTCCCTAAGCCTCTCTCCAGCCAGCCAAGCTACCTGCTGCAGCTCATGAGCCTGTGCAGATTTTTACCTTGGGCCACTGTACTGAAAGACCCGTGCCAGGCCAGGTACCAGTGTCTCCTTTTAGTTTTATTATTTGTGTGTGTGCGCATGTGTGTGTTTGTGGGTGTGTGCACAAGCATGCGTGTGCTGGTCCTGGGTCTTGAACTCAGGATCCTGAGTGCTGTCTCCAAGTCTTTTTTGCTCAAGGCTGGTGCTCTACCACTTGAACCACAGCTCCACTTCCTGCTTTGGGGGGTAGTTAATTGGAGATAAGAATCTCCTGGGGGCTTTTCTGCCCAGGCTGGCTTCAAACCCAGATCCTTACATCTCAGCCTCCTGTGTAGGCAGGAGCCTGAGCCCCCAGTACCTGGCTCAGATGTCTCCTGGAACTCTTGAGTTCCCAGGGTGTGTTTGGGGAAGCAATGGGGAGAGGGTTGCCACATGTCCACAGCACTGGGGAGCCCTCTCCGTTTCCCAGGGGCCGGACCCCAGGTCAGGGTCTGGGTGTGCACACTGCGTCCACACGACACAGCAACCTCCACTTCCAGCCTTGGTTTCTTTTAATTGCCTAGAGCTCAGCAACACTCAGTGTGTGCTCTGCAGACTGCGGCAGGGTTTCAGAAGGTCAACATCTTCAGAATAATACTAAGATGTTATTTGCCTTTTTAACTTTTTTTGGGGGGGGGACGGGAACAGTACTAGCTTTTGAACTCAGGGCCTCAAACCTGCTGGACAGAGACTCTACCACATGAGCCATGCCCCTAGTCCTGTTTGTCTCTTTAACGTTTTAAAGAAATGTGGGTGAGCAGGAAGAGGAAGAGAAAGAAGGAGGAGGAAAGGAAAGAAGAGAAGGAGGAGGAAGAAGGGGAAGAGAAGAAGGAAGAGGAGGAGGAAGAAAGGAAGGAAGAGGGGCATTAGAAGCAGGAAGAAAAGTCAGTTCTATTTAAGAATATCCTTAACAAAGCAACACATATTGTCAAGTTCTATTAAATCTTGACCCTTGAAAGTGTCTATTTTTACCATTCCGCGTGATTAACTGGGAAGCGCTCCACTGCGCATGGAAGGATCTGGGCTCTCCTGGGAGCCCCCTGGTGTGACAGCTTGTGATCCGAACTCACCCCTTCCCCGTGGAGCATCGTTTTTACTTGAAAGAAACGCTGACATCAGCTGGACGAGTTGGTGGATGTTTTTTCCACTTGAACCAAGGACCCATGTGACTTTTTTTTTTTTTTGCCTGGGGCTTGAACTCTAGGCCTGAGTTCCGTCCCTGAGCCATTTTTCTCACAGCTCTTCTTTTAGCTTTTTGCTGGTTCATTGGAGGTAAGAGTCTCATGGACTTTCCTGCCCTGTCTGGCTATGGTTCTCAGATCTCAGCCTCCTGAGCAGATCGGATTACAGGCGTGAGCCACTAAACCCGGCAGGGGTACCTCATCATGTGAGTGGTCTGGATGGAACCCCACAATATCCACTACAGAGAGAAGGTTTGGTTGTGTCTTCCTGTGAAACAGGAATCAAGAATTCAAGGCTCCAAAGTCAGAAAAGACTCGGGCTGAAGTCCCTGTGGCCTTGGTGGAGTTCCTTAACTTCTTTGAAGCTTTTTTTTTCTTTTTTTTCTTTTGGGTCCGATTGTGGTGCCTGAACTCTGGGCCTGGGCGCTGTCCCTCAGCTCTTCAGCTCAAGGCTAGCACTCTACCACTTGAGCCACAGCGCCACTTCTAGCTTTTTTCTTTTTGCTTATGTGGTGCTGAGGAATCGAACCCAGGGCCTCAGGCAGGCTCTACCACTGAGCCACCTTCCCAGCCCTGAAGCAGTTTTTTTCTATAAAATGAACATAAATGGTAACTACCTGACACACTGCTTTAAGACTGAAGCCAGCACATACTGAGGGCGTGGCTCCTGCTGTGGTTATAATTGCTTAAAACTTTCCAAACGCTAAAAGGGCTTCCTCTGGGAGAAGATAATCAGGCATGGCCATCAGACACGGGATGTTGTGCAGGAGGAGGCTGTAGGGTCCAGGGGGACAGACACAAGCCGGCTTTTTGAGTTCATTCTGTCCCGGAGCTGCCTTGATTCTCTAGTTCCTGCCCACCCTTGGTGGTGGGGGGGGGGGGGGAGGCACTTAGAGAAGCATTTTCACCTTCAGACCACTAGGGGGCCATTTAGTAGCCTATAACTGGAATTCACTAATGGTTTCTTAATGGCTCAGGCACCAGGGAGACCAAGGCTCAATTATATCTGAAAGCATTTTGAGTTGCAGGGGTAAAAGACACTATGTAAAGCCAGATAATAAATAGGACTTATATTGATGACAGGTTAAAGAATCTGGCACTGGGAAAGACTAGAGCCAGAGGCATGAATTAAAAGCTTCAGTGTGGTACTCTTTTTTAGTAGAGAAGAGTGACATG